AGCCTTCAGAAGAGTGTATGAACTCTTCACTGCTCAGGTAAAAATCCTCATTTAAGTGGGTGATGTCTATACCTAAACTTGAAAATACAGCTATAACTTCAGAACCTCAGAGTATTTCCATAGACACTACAAATAATACTTGGTTCCCTCATTACCGTTAACATTCACCAAAGGAGGTCAGTATGATTATTCATATTTTACAAAGAGGGAAATAAGTTACAAAACTTAAATCAGGAACTTTTTTCTAACTTTTGTTGTTTTCATTTTCAAGGAGTAACTTACTTATTCTTTCATCATTTAACTTTTTTTTTTTTTTAATGTTCTAAAGGTTCCTTGGCACATTAGTAATGCTAGCTACCAAAATCTTGAGACAATGTAATAACATTGCCTTTTAATAAAAAAGAGGCATTTTAGCACTTAGTATTTAACATGCTCATAGTATTTCTTAAGCATTTTAGCTAATGCTGCCTTTGATGTACAATCTCTTCAGCGAGAACTTTCTGATACTGTTCCTCGTAGGAAAAGTAGAGCTGGAGGAAGTAGAAACATCCCATTGTCGTCTGCTCGATTCCTCATCGATAGCATGATAAAGGCTTTGGTAGGAAGATAAAATGCAGTTCCTAGAAACGCTGTTCCCCCTGCCATATTCAGCAGAAAAAGCATTTCGACAGTGCCCATTTATCCAGAGCAGGCAACATACAGAAACTCGACGGGGTTTTGCGTCTCCGGCGTTAGGGACACCAGCCCTAGAGGACTGAAGCGTTGTGTATTAGTATGTATTGAGCCTCCTTCCAGGTGGCAAACAGCTGCACCTTTTTATAAAACTTCAAAAATACATCTGAAGTGCTTGCTTTCAGCCGGTAAGTGTTATACTTAATTGAACCATTCTGCAAATGTTATAGCTCAGGCACCCAGAGAGATGGTGAATATTTAATATATTTGTTTTGTATTTCCACCGGTCAGCAGAATAATGAAATTCCTTAACTACTTCTCTTTAACTCGCCCGAAGAAAGGACGGTATGTTGCTAAATCGCTTTTCACCGGCCCTGCCGAGAAACAACTTTAATCCTTGTTAGAAAATTGCAGAGTCTGGGCCTGACAAAGAGCTCATGCCTGGCGCATTGTGAGCGCTGGGAGCGGGGCGAGGGGAGCCCTTTACAGCTGCGTGCCTCCAGCCGCCTCAGCTGGACTATTTAGGCGAGGAGGTTTGTCAATTCCTCCCGACAATGGAGCGAGTTTTTCATGGCCTGTAGCCGCACCGAGCCCCGTTGGGGATCAATGCTGGCCATTCAGGCTGCACCCTCTTTCATTGCTTTGGTTTGTTAATTTAAGACTAAAGGTCCGCTGAGGGGGTTTAGGGTGTTTAAGAAAGCTGATGAACTGTTTAAGAAATCTGATGAACTGAGAGCGTTTATAGCCCTGGTGTGGCAACTATTGGCACTGAGGGAGCTGTGTCCTTGTTGACCCCCTTGTTATTAAAAATGCACAAGTGCTGCGCTTCTCAATATTTCAACCCTCTTTCATTGTCAATACCACCTTCTGAGCCCTTCAGCTTGTTGCTTGCTCTAAAGATCTTCTTAGATTGGGTTTGAAAACTTCACCTTAAACACTAGATTAGACTGATGTTCTGTTTTCCGTGCTCCTGTTGATTTGTTGAACCTTCCCAGGGCTGGAAAGCAAGTAGCAGCTTGATGGGGAGATGGGCTGCTAATATGATTTACCAGTCTACAGTCATGCACGATAAGTGTGAATAAATACAGGGGTCTCACAGAGTCAACCCTAGCCTTTCCTTTTCTCTTATTTTTTACTTTAAAAGAGGTATCTCAGGAAAATGAAGTGAGTAATGCATGCCCTTACAGGAGCTGGATGAGCTATGAATAAGAAGAGGGGGGAAACGGGGAGGCAAACATATTTTTGTTAAAGTGGTTGGCTACTGTTGTGTGCTGATGTGAAAAAAATATATATAGTAAACACTTACTGCTTTATTCTTCCATAGACGACAGCAAAGAGTATGGCACTAATACGGTATCGTTGACATCTGCGAGAGTCACGTTGTCCTTTCAGTGCTATTGTTAGTAGAGGGAAAGTGACTTTTTCTTAAAACTAGTTAGAAGGATTTTTTTTTTAATTATTATTACTTTAAAACGGTGTAATCTCAAGACCGTTATCTAATCGCTGAAGCTTGTGAGTTTGCGATAGATTCCCATAACTCACAGTAGATGCGTCCCTGCCTCTGTAACACACTCATGGTTGTCAAAATGTGTGGCCTTGGATTCCACCTCTGAGAGGCTTTTGCAGCGCTGTGCACTTTAACAGGCTCCAAAAGAAGCGATAGGGAAATACTTGCTTTTCTTCTTACGAAGTCCAGCAGATCTATGTTTATGCAGCTTCAGCCTATACGAAGTTCTCAAAACTGGTGGCTATAAGGCAAATAGTGAACAGGACTGCTATCCACAAGTACCTCTGGGAGGACTCTGAAAATATACTGGATGTGTTTGCTATTAAAAACACTGTGACAATTCAAAATAAGAATACATCTTTTTCTAATATAATAGCAGCTGTATTTTTTCTGAACAATGTCTGTTGATAGAGGAACAAGTACCATAATATTATTTCACAGTCACCGAATTAAATATTTCTACTGAAAGTTTAACGTATTAAAACTAGTCAGGAAAACATATTATATTGTTTTCTTTCAGAAATTTGAGTAGCAAAATTAATTCCCTGCAATTTCTTAGCTTTGTTTTCAGCTCGTGTAAGCATATCACCGATATGTATGGCGAGTCTAATTTTTATTGCATCCATCTTAATTAAGTTATGTGACTGGGCTTTAAAGCACATGTTTTGCCCGAAAACTGGGACTGGGTCTATTCTCAGTGATCCGGCACCATTCAGTGGTGTTGCATGGGGAAACCGATCGCAGAATTTTCAATCCTGTCTGTAGTTTGTTCCTGTGAGCAAGTTTGAGCCCCTTCTGTTTTCTGCTTGCTACAAACCAAACACATTGTGAATGTGTTATTGGATTGGGGTTTTTTTTATGGAAGAATATAAGTTTTGAGAAAACTCCGCTACTAAAAATCATTCTCTCTACCATGATTATGTTAAAGATTAACAGCTGTAGAGTCTGAGGGATAATATGATAATTGGGCTCATCTTATTGCAAATAACAATAGATATTCCAGGTAGGGTGCTTGGCTTATGGATTTTTACATTTAATAGATCGATGGAGTTCCCCGAGTGAATAAGCTCAACTGTATTTTATTTTCTAGACATCTATATACATCCAACACCTGTCATACAGTTTACAGCTGCCACTTAGTAACAACTCTGTCACATTAAAAATATTTTACAGGTTCTTGTAAAGGAAATCAAAAGCAGCATGCATGTTTGGGGTGAAATAATGTAAATGGTATAAGAATGTAATGCAGTGATAAAACCCCAGTATTTTATGGATACCAAATCAGCCCTATGTTTTATTGAATAAATCAAACTACTTTTATGAAACGTGCAGCTATCTGCATTTTGTGTGGTGTGCTTGTTCACTCCTGTAAAATAGTAAATTAGTAGGAGAAACTAAAAAATGTGGAAGTAATTTATGATTTATAATTAAAATACATTTTAACACATTAAACAACATAAATGGAAGTCATTATTATATGAAAATCCTCTTTCTTATTTCAAACTTACCTTAAAACTGGTTTTAATTTCATTACAATGAAATGAGACTGTTTCCTGTAAGGAAAAAGTATTAATCTATAATTATTGCATGTATTTAAAGCTTATGCCAGAGACCTTACATTTTGATTAAATAATTCTATTTTCATCTTTTGTTACAGCCAGTAGCCAGTAATTTGTCTTCATTTTTTCAATATATATTTTCTTTCATGCATTAGTGTAGAGCTGGCTCGTGAGACATGTTAGATCCTTCCTTTGAATTACTTCACGATGTATACCTTGCCTAACATGCTGCATTTTCAAATACGCACAATGTTTCCTCTCTTTGCATATCTGTGTATTTTGTAAAGACACAGGAAATTACATTAGAAGAGAATTTAAGCCTCTTCCCTGTGGGGAAAGAGACTAGAAACGGAGCTACGACACAAACTCTTTTAATCTCTTCCTGCTAAAATGAAAAAAAAGCCCTTCCTTTTTACAGTTTGACTAAGTGACATCTGGATGGTATTTTACAGGAGGGGGAGGAAAAAGTGCTACAACTATGTTTAGTAAAATCTCTTTTAATCCAGTTAATGTGAAAGAACTATTATAGTAGCTGTTTGGATCTGAGCATTTTTTTACGGTAACATAGACACCAACAGCAGAGAGCTTATTCTTACCCCATCCATTTGCGCAGCTTTGAGTGAAAACATACCCATGCCCAAGACACAAAAAGGCAATAAGGTAGGCTGTAATTATAATTAGTAATCGACGTAAAACAAAACCTTAACGTGTTTATTTTGGGAGGGGTGGAGTGGTGTTTCGGTCATACTTAAATATAGTTTCCACAGATTTCTGAAATTTTTTGCTTACTAAAGAAGTTATTTAAAAGAAAAAAAAGCAAGACATTCTATATTCTACGTTTGATACTGTTTTCCTGTTTGGATTGGAAAATCTAGGTGTTGGAAAATCTCTCTCAAGACGCCCCACCTGTGTTTTTTCCCTTGCTGTTTTAGCTGTCAGTTCTCTCCTGTAATTGTGTATTTAATATCCATTCTTACTGACAGATAACAAAGTGCATAACGACGCTATTTTGCGTGAAAATATTGTAACTGAAAGATAAAATGGCAGTTGCTAATTCATGTAAAGAACAGTCTAGGTCAAGTTATTTGATTTCCTACTGACCCATGCAATTCTCTTAACAGGAAATTATATCATTGTTGACTTCAAGTGCTGATCTGTGATCATTTCGAAGTGTTTCGTTACCTCTCATTACCCAATCTGTTAAATGAATACTGCAAGGTTGTTTAGTGGTTTGTTTTTGGTTTTTTTATCCTTCTTTTCAGCAATGGTATAGCAGCTCCATGAAAGTCATATGCATGTGGTTGGCTGATAGATTAGACCTTCAGCTTCACATCTACCAGCTGAAGACTCTCATCAAGATAGTGAAGGTAAATAAACCGTGTTTGAGTTAGACTGCATAGTAAAGAGAGAAAAGTGATGAAGTATTAATATGGATAATTTCCTAAAAGTTAAAAAATTTTGAATACAGCTGCAAACTTATGTAGTTTTGGGTTTTTTCCACAGTAGCTGAAAATTTGAGAAGAAAAACTATTTATTAAAACCTTCAATTATATATGCACTAGTAATTGTCATCCATTCTGGACTCAGTGACGGTTATAATTGTTCCAAGGAATTTTAGCAGATTACTGCTATCCGTACAGCAATGTTATATGATTTTCCTAATAAATTATTGTCATATTGCTGATTTTTTTTATTTTACCTTAATAATCACAAAAGCATTCTTTCTCCATTTTTTCCCCACTCTCCTAAAAAGTAACTTTCTTATGTGCATGTGATTACTAAGTTCAACTGGAAAACAATATTCAATATATTAGTTAACATTTTCTAATCTCTCATACTCTGGGAAAAGTATCAATAGAAAACTAGTCCCTCCAGTCCAGGCCTCAGTCATTTACACTGGCCAATGTCAAATGCTTCTGAGCAAAGTGTAAAATACCTTGCAATGGGCAATTATGGGTTAACCTACCATAAAAGAAAATTTCTTCTAAGCTCCCTTTCAGATCTCAGTTAATACCCTTAGGCAAAAGACAGAAAGGCATTTCAGATTTTATTCCTTTTAATTCTGTCTTGTCTAACTCTGAACATTTTTGTTATCTGTATAAATGTGGAATAAGAAGCACCTGTTGTCAATGGTGACCTTGATTTCTTCAAAATATTTTCTCATGAAGTTCCTGCAAGACTATAAAGTCTTTTTACATTTTAACACATGGACACTAGAATTGCAACTGCAACTTTCAGGATTCAGTAGTTAAAAGGAAAAAAGAGAGAGAGAGGCAAGAAAACAGTCATCATAATGATGTCATCATGGCTCCCTGAACTTAGCTTAGCTTTGCTATTTTTGCCCTTAACTGCTTTCTCTAGGAACAGGATTTGGCTCTTCATTATATTATGTGCCAAAGTGGTAGAAGCAGTTTGCTAACTGTGGTTGAAATGAATGGCTCTTGTGACAGGTTCAAAGCTCTTCTCAAGTGAAGGTAATCATCCTCTGGGGAAAAAAAAGTGTTATAGGATCTAAAAACTGTGCCCAGTGAGATCTAAGAATGGGCAAACTAAATTATACCAGTTAAATATCACCCAGGAGATTAAAGGAAGAGGCTGTTACAAAACTGAAGTTTGGGTGAAGGAGCAGCACTTGTCAACCAGCCTACCTACTACAGCCTGGCACACGGATTAGTCGTGTTCAAAAGAAGTAGGCTCCTGGTGGTGATGGGAACGCACTGGTTATGGCGGTAGCCTTCCAGTGCCCATACACCTGGTTTGCTTCACACATAAATTCCAAGTGTGTTATTCCATGGCACCTTCTGTGGATACAGAAGATTGAAGAAGATGATGTCAGTCATAGGGGTACCGGTCAATGTACTGGAAGATAGAAAATCTTGTCCACCTGTGGTTTGGTGGGTGAAGATGGCAGAACTGGAAAACAGGAACTCATCCAACAGGAGGCTGCTGGGAAATAAGAAACAACGGTTCAAGTAGAGTATCATAAGAATCTTTCACTGTCACAGCCCAGCTGGGAAGAGGCACGTGGGAAGGCACGGTTCCTCCAAACACTAGGGTGAATGGAGGGACTTCTCTGTTTGCTTTTGGAAAAACTGGGGGGCTGTGTTGCCCCTGTCATCTCTTGGAAATATTCCAAAAAAGAAGTAGGGAGTCATTTTTAAGGGATGTGGGATGAGTAAGAGATAGATGATTCTTTTATGCTTGGGTGCAGCAAAGGTAGTGGCGTTATTAAGAATGACCAGCAGAAGAAAACATTGCTTGTTCCCATTAAAGCCAAATCTGAAGGATGAAGGCATAAAGGTATCGTTAGATGTGCAAAACACGTGCAGAGGGACATGACTAAAGAAGGGTCAAGGACCAAGAGGAAAGTTAGGAAGAAATTAAAAATTAAGCTTGGAAGTGAACATTACTATACTGCAGAAGTATGTCAAGAGAAGAGCAAGGACTGAACCCAAGTGCTGGTCTGAGAATGGGAGGAATACAATGTAAAACTGAAAGAAATTGCTGTAGGACCTGTTAACAGCATAAAATGAAATTGAATGCACTGTGTTATAAAAAGGGAATGCAATGGTGCCACTTGAAAAAGACCAGGCAGGGTGCTCGCAGGACTGTGTGAGCAAAACATAAGCTGCATCTATTGACTCTGAAGCTATGAAAGTCAAATCTCAGTTGCTGTGATTCAGGCAAGGTTTAAATAATCATCATAGATAGTGGCAGAAAAAATTCTCCCAGATGAATGTAACCCATTTTGAGAGGTGTCTTTTGCAATTCTCTGAAGTATTGGGTGAAACAAGATCAGCTCTTTTCTCTTTTCTTTCTCTAAGGGTTGTGCGCGGTCTCCTCTGGCAGAGGAACAGGCCTGATAGCCTTTAATTATTTTCCATTTTCTTTTTTCTATAGTCTCTTCCATAAACATTGGGAACTCGTAGTAACAGTGTACACAAAATAAGAAACTAGCTAGATCAACTTGTCCTTCTTAAGCTTTTTAGGCTAACTTCAGGCAGGATTATTTCAAATGTGTTACAAGTTAAAAACAAAGAAGGTAGAGTAGATGATTTTACATATTTTACACTTGAACACAACATCAATGAATAAAACAATTCCGCTCAGAACTCTTAGTTGATAGAAAGTCAAAGGAGAAAGTGATATCTGCTGGTTCGTAGGAAGGCTGGATACCAGGGAAACAAAACTTTCTCAAGGGAAAGAAAAAATAAAGGGAGATGTAGATGTGAGTCGAAATGTAGATGACTTCGAACGTAAATTGACTGAAGTAGTCATCTGAGAAATGTTTACATTATAGAATAGAGATCGCAATCTAAAATCTGTTTTATTTTTCCACATTTGGCATATAAATGTAAATATAAATGCAAACAAAATCATATTATGGGGAGTCAGACATTTATATTTTCTGTGAATGAAAAGACAGAACTACCTGTAGCCAAATTTGTTGTTGTTTTCTTATTGAATAAATGTGACAAATGGAAGTTACTGAGAAATCAGTGTAAAGTTATAGAAATGTAGTACAAGACACAATCTCTTAAAGGAATGACCATCAAAGTGTGGCTTGTAGACTCTCTAGAGCTTATAGAAATCTCATGCAGCCCAGAAACTAAGACCGCAAAATCTTCAGCAAACTCTAGATGATAGGTCCCTAACCGCAGGAGGAACACAGCTGTTCCTCTGGCAGGCTGGGAATGGCCAGGGTGTAGTGGAAGACTGCTCAGAATTGCTCGAGTCCGATTCAGGATGTTTTATTTCTGCCACAGAAAACCTACCGAGACTTCAGGTTGCAAGGCGTGCTGGAGGGAACGCTGAACAGTAAAACCTACGATACCGTTCACAGCCGTCTGACCGTAGAGGAGGCCACAGTCTCAGTCACGGATGCGGGAGGACTTCAGGGCATTACTATGAAAGACAGTGATGAGGAGGAAGGATGATATTTTTTCACCAAGCATTTGGAGTTTGGGGGTGATGGTCTGAGGGTGGGGGTTATCTTTCACTTGGGATTCTTTTGGTAACTTGTCCTCGTAGTTGCATTTATAGTTTTGCCTTATGATATAGGTGCAGAAATGTAATTTGCTCCATTTTTTTAAAAAAATGAAAGTAAGATTATCAGAGGATTAGTGCCAAGGACTTTCTGAGAACAATGGTTGTAGCATATTTTAATGTATAGCTTTGCTTACGGCTGCAAGAACACCGGCATGGAGTTTGAGTTCCACTTGTGATTACGTTTCTTTCCCTTCCATTCATTACCATTCGTTCTTGTATCTCCATCAGATATTGGTGTCCTGTGCAGAAAACAGAATTTGTGCCTCACTTAAAACCCAACTATACAGGAAATCATTCTTGGAATAAGTCAGTGCCCTAGGTAAAAAAATAGTGTGTTTTCAGGATTACACTTTGTTTACCTTTTTTTGTGCTTAATTTTACATTATTATGTGATGTGCATTAAAAATTTTAATCTTGGTTCTTTGTATTTTAAGGTTGGTATATATATAGTAGGACTTCAAGGACAGTCAAACACATACAAACTACTTAGGAGCGTTGTTGTGTCTATTCATTTTGCAAGTTTAAAGATATCTCATCATGTTGGATGTCAGTAAGCTTGCCATCAATGTTTCTATTTCTGTGAAAAATTTCAGGCAATAAGAACACATTTTGTCGTGACCACTTCTGTATCTATCTGAGTTTGTATAGAATTCTGCAATTAAAAGATGTTTTCAGTATTTCAAACCATTTGAACTGTTGTATGATTCCTCACAAGAACAAGTTTTTTGAAAGGTTGTTGTGTTTAGTTTATATAGTGTTTTATTGTGAATATATTTATTTTGTAGAACAGATATATATAGCAAATAAATATCCAAGGACACGATGCCTTGATAAAGAAAAAAAAGCAAACAAAAACCCCTCACTGGCAGACGAACAGAGTGCCCACTGCCTGTTTTTTTAATGCCCTCAATATCAGCTGGAAAGGATTCGAATTTTCATCAGTCAAAACTTGCACAACTTCTGAAAAATGCAGCTTTTCTTTTTTTTTTTTCCTTTGGCGGGAACATGACTAATTCCTGCGTTTGTGTAGACAAAATCAGAAGCAACACAGACGATACCCAAAGAAGTAAGGAAGGTTGCTGAGCTCCTTGTTGAGCCATATACTTGAAGGGCTTCGCTGATGGACTGTTGAGGGTTTACGAGGCTGGCGTGACGTTTCCCTGCAAGAACAGACCGTAGGACTTCAGGGGTCTGTCGCAAGGACACGGGGCTGCAGGAGCTGAGAACGAGAGCTGCAAGGAAAGTGCGTTTCAGCACACTTGGAAGCTCGGCCAGGCAGGGAGGGGCAAGTTACGCTTCTTCCTAGCTGTCTAGGGAGAAACCCAAAGTGGCAGTTCTTCCCTGCAGCAAACCAGCCGCCTCCTCTGCACGTGAGCTGAGGTGAATTCGGCAAAAAGGAAGACAACGGGAAGCTGGTGAGGAAGACCATTCTCAGCTCTTCATACCCCGACTGAGTGCTCGCCCAGAGGTGCCTGGGGAGGCCGGGAGGGCCACCCGCACCCCAGGATGCCTGCAGCTGCAGTGCCATGTGTGTTTGGGGAGCAGCAGGGTGGGCAGGACGCACGCAGCATGCTCCCCTCCGTCGCTTTGCCTTCACCTGACCAGCCCCGGGCTGGAGGGAGCACAGGGAGCCTCAGCAGTGTTTTCCACCATTCTCGGGCTCTCAGATGGGTTTGCTGGTTCAAGTTTTGATAGCAGTAAAAGAATTATTTTTATATACCCTTTTCCCATCTCTTGTCCTAGTCGAGCCAGTGCATGGAAGTTGATGGAGTTTGAAGGGCCAGGTGGGGCTCTGGTCAAAACCCAGGCTCAGCAAGGAGTAGCCTGCCAGGCCAGGAGCTGCAGCCTCAGCCCCAGCCTGGCGGTGGCAGGCAGCGGGGTACGGAGGAAACCAGGCTGCACAATGTGACACCCAGCTCCCAAACCCAACGAAGCAGAGAGATCAGTGCTGGTCAGGCCCAGAGGGAGCTGATCTCTGCAAACAACCCCCCGCTTGCCCTTTCCCACCATCTTTGCCTCCCTGCAACCCAGTGGAGGTGCCTGTGGAGGGACCAGTTGTAAACAGGTGAAGGCAGGTGGCACTGGTGGCCTCCCAGTGCAGGGGCATGCCAGCTCCATGTAGGGCTCTCCCGAGAAGAAGGCTTTAGGAGATTTTTAAGGTTCTGAGATGACACAAGGGCAGGAAGCGATATCAAAACTGGACACTGACCCTAGCAAGTCACTAACTAACAGTGTAGAGGCCTGGAGTGGGACCTAGAAACACTGGGACAGAAGTGGCTGTCACCAGCTCAGGCCAGGAGGTGATGGGACCAGCCCTCCTTCAGCGGAGATTGGCTTGGCAGTAACCTATCTGCCAAAAGCCCTGTGGGAAACATATGATTTACACTCACCTACCCTGTGGGCTTGTCCTCTGTCTCAAGTTATCCCCACACTGAGAAGGGTTCCCTGGTAAGGCAAACAACTCTCCCTACTGATTTGGACAGAGTAAGCTACAGCAATTTCACCTGCCAGAGGCTCAAGAGGACTCGTAGCCCATCATGGTCCTGACTGGCCTCACCTGGGACCCCCAGACACAGCTGCTGCCCAGTGACTCCACCTCAGCTGACCAGCAGTGTAGTAGGAGTGATGGTTTCTGGCTCGGCTACAGCCGTGTCTGTACTTGCTTATGGGCCCTGTTGATCCAGACCCTGACCCATGGGTTGACTTCAGACCTGCCTGTTGATCACAAACTAATCTGGACTTTGGGTTACCACTGGCTCTCGCCCCGCCCCAGCCTGCCCTGCTCCCCGGCTGGGGGTGGTGAGACCATCCCCGGCTGGTGGGGCCCTGCTAGGGAGTCACGAGCAGTCAACCCTTTCTATGCCCTGACACCATCTTTTTAAAAAAAAAAAAAAAAAAAGAATTTTTGTGGCTTGAAGTGGGTCCGAGTTACTCAAATTTCATGATACATGTACAGATACTTTGCTATACAGTTTCGTCTGTATGCAGTACTTGCAAGACATGTCTGTCAGTAAGATCGAGATGAGTAACGAAATAGTAAAAAACAACAAAAATGATGTAACCATGAAGCAATTACAAAATGTTTGTGATTTCAGAGAAACTAATGCAGACACAAAGTATCTGCTCAGTCGTTATTATTAGGCAGCACAAGCAGACATGACAGGAAGGCAGGTACAGCAATGACAGCACTCCAAAGGTCATTCCATTTCTTATTAATTCCCATATTTTCTTAGCAACTAGATTTGTGAAACCGTGAACCAAGGTCAAGCTTGAGAAGGCCAGTGAGTATCTGTGTGACAGCTTCAGAGCCAGGCACCCACGCC